TTCTGGAGATTGCCGTTGAGAGGATAGTGATGATAAAACGGCGAGTTCTGTAGACTGTGGCACTCGCCAGGTCCCGCACTGTTGCCGTAGGCCAACAATTGCTGAACATTTGCACCAGGATTTAACTTGCTGCTTAGGCACGGGGAGGTTAGGGCCGAGTAGGGAGGGACACCGTTATGGTTGTGAAGAGGGATAAAATTTCCAGAGGCACCGGGTAGTGTGTGGACAGGTGGTGGAGTGCACGATCCGGACACGTAGCCCGTTGAATGAGTTGATGCCAAAACATCAGTAGGGGATCCATTGAGGAGGCGGTCTTGTAAAGTGACCATAGTTGGTGTCGACCCATTTCGGTGTAAAGGAGAACGAATGACAACATTAGATCCATGCACATCTGAGTCAGTTAGAGCACAGCCTGATGTATTGAAATTAGAGTTCACATATTTAGTCCCGGTTGTCGTGTTGGGTTCATATCCAACTGACGCATGCTCATTACTGGTCATGAACGATATGAGTCTTGCACTCAATAAATCTTCGTTCTCGAAATTCGGGACGCTGACGGTAGGCATGACCACCTTACTGAAACTGCGGGCCGTTGCTTGCTTCCTTCGGGTGCATCAAAGAACGGCTTTCGAAACCAAGGTTGCTGGAATGAGGGCGGAATGCCGTTGCAGCAGCAGTCAATCAGCTAACCGTGTTGCCTGTTTGGTTAGCGCACCCTGCCCTTATCGTCATTGCTTGAGAAGGTGGTGGAAGTCGTAGTTCCTCAGTCGTACAGGAGTGCATACGTGAGATAGTTTAATCGGTGACCTGAAATCACCACTGCCTTAGCCAGACACACCACAGTGCCTCCGCCCGATTGATTGGACTGAAGCAGCTGTTTTGACTGGTCAGTGAAGCCACGTCAGGCAAGCTACAGCGACTGTCTGCCTTTCGCCAATCCGGTGTGAGGCGAGGCAGAGCCAGGCTTCATATGCGTGGGCTACAAGCGTGGGTCAGAAATTGACTTGCTCCACGTCGATTGGTGGAGCCTCCTGTTCAACCAACCAATCAGTGGCCAGACACTATTGGCCTGTCAGTTCAACGACCACAGCCTGCCTGTCATGGCACTCTCAGCGTGTTTGAATGATCTCGCATGACGCGTTCGCCTCGGGCGGACAAAGAAAGCGAAGTGCAGGGACGCCAAGGCCTCGTGTGTCGGCGCATAGTGGCGGGAGGTCCAGTTGGCAGTTTGCTGACGTGCTCCTTTTGCACGTCTCGTGAAAGGTGCTGGTCAGGTCATCGCCATCATTCCCTTACTCCCCTTATAGTCGGTGAACAGACCTCTAGACGTTGGAATCAGCGCACACGGTTTTTTAGGTGGAAAGCCAGACTTTACTGTGTTTAACGCTCAAAGTCAAGGTCGCTCTGGCTGGCCAGACTGTATGCACTGCCCTGTTTGTTCCCCAAACTATCGGGTGAGGAGTATTGCCTGTTGCTACTCAACATCGACACATATTTCCATCGTGTAACATCAATCGTCTGCAGTTGACGAAACAGCAAATTCCGAAAGGTGCAGTAAATAAACAAGAAATGACCATGAAAAGGTTATATAATCATCCTTTAGACCACACAGATCACAAACGAAGGAAGATGAATCCCTTAGTATGCATAGACCACGAATACGGTAGTATCCCCAAAAAAGATCACATAAGTGGAAGAACCTAATGGGTCCGATTTGACGCTCCCTTACAGAGAACATGCTCGACTGGACAGACGAATAGTAGTGTAGAGAACGCAAATGCTCGTCTCTGGAAATCTTCAAAGGAATGTGATGCAAAAAAGCCGTTTAATGTTTCATTTGGTACGGTATTCAATATATCAAAGTATACTACTACTACTACTACTACCGTTAGAGCCTAGTCACAAACAAAGAGTAAATGCAAGCGATAGATATGGAAGTGTCACAAGAGAATATTAGATAAAGAGAGAGAGAAGCGTTTCATTCGAAGTCATGTCACCAACAGTTCCAGTCAGACAGGTTGAGTCCCGGTGTATGTAAGAATGTTTGGTATAGAAACGCGCGCGTAAAGACCAGCAACCGAGGAATGCTGAAGGCTCTTCAAGGCGCGTAAGTGCTAAGAATCGCACATCAAGCATAAGTATCCGTCATACTGCGTTTGGTGTGAGAGTCAATGGCAAGAATGGACACTCATCGCCATGCACCACGCACAAAGGTGTCGCAAGTACACAGAGGGCCCACAATGCCAAGCAAACACAAGTCACTGACTATTACCTAGGAGTTCCCAGTCCAATAACAGCCTTGGAGGATTGAGGAAAGCAGATCCCTCGATGAGAGATGATCATTGGTTCGTGTACCAGAAGGTCGGTTGAAAGTAGGGCTGAGATTATGACGGCAGCACCATACTAAGGCTTTTTTCTCACTCCACCCAGTCATTCCACTACTATCCGAGAATATGCTTATGTTGCTTGGCGCTCCCGAAGATGTAGATGTAGTGGATGCTCTCAACTAATTGAAGACGGTGTATCCAAGGCGACGATCACATTTCACGAGTTTCCTTGCAACCCGATTATGACGAGCATATCTAGCATCATGCGTGATCAAGCAGGGCTGCAAAATATGCACTCAACCACCCAGTTGGCCACAGTTTCCACGACAGAAGACCGTCTGGTCACCATGACCATGCCGAGCGCTGCTAACTATCTTCCTGAGCAGGTTGCATCGGAGCTGGATACCGCGGATAAATATCCCAGGAAACACTCGTTCTGGAAATACAAGACATCCGTTCGAACGAAGCGGAGCGACCAACTCTCGTAAACCAAAACCGTCAACGCTTTTGTGCGGACTACCACCCCAAGCATCCACCAACTCTTCCTTGGTGTTTACGCATGCACCATGGACTCGGATCGGAAGGCTGAGATCCCGAACAATTTTGCCGAATGCGGAATCGTTGACCACATTGCGTAGT